ACGTATCTATCAATATTAACTGACCCTTGAAAGTTCTGAAATGAGTTTGGGAGCTATATGCCTGTGACAACTGAATACTTTAAGGAATTTTAATGCAAGCTGAAGCTATATATATATATATATACATACATACATATACACATACACACACACACACACACACACACACACACACATATCCTAGGTAGGCATCAGTGGCTCACACCTGTCATTCTAGCTACTTGGAAAGTTGAGAGCAGAAGAATTTCAGCTCAAGGTCATCCTCAGCAGAAAAGCTCACGAGATTAAATCTGGAAAATAAACAGAAAAAAGTGGGGGAGTGATAGATAAGACTGGAAATGTGGCTCAAGTGCCAGAGTGCCAGCCCAGCAACTGGGAAGTCCTGAGTTCAAACCTTAGTATCACAAAGAAAAAGATCTGTTTTCATGAATGTCACAACCGGCAAGGCATAGGTTAAAACTTGACTTCTAATGAGGGGAGAGGGGAGAGTAAACTGTCATTGTAGGGATGTCTCATATGGCCAGCAACATTTGCATTTTCATTTCTATCAAAAGTCCACTTTAGCAAGGAACTGTAGTTTTAGTCACTTAAAACTGTTCTTCCCTGGAAAATAATTTTAAAAGTAATAAGCAAGAAAGAATAGAAAATGCTCGCTGGAAAAATATAACCCATCTAGGGTTAATTCAATACAACAACGGATTCAGAGTTCTGACATTCTTATTCCAGAAGGAAAACTTGGAAAATTTCTAAATTTCAGGGTATTTAAGATTTGCAAGGAGCGGTAAAAGAAGTTAAATTTCAGTCCCACTGTGGATGTGATCAAGAACAGATTTTCTCAACTCTCAAGAGTCATTTTACATGTTCAAATCACCTCATAGCGGCAGAATCTCTCTTCCGCATAAGGTAGGTACTGGCTGGTTGCTATGGTAGGATACAATAAGGTCATGATTGCTTTAAAATTATTCATAATAAAAACACATTTTGAGATTTGATTCTAAATGTTAAATTTGAGCAATTTAATTGCCCGTTGAATAGAAATGAAATCCCACCAGTAGGCAGTTATTTCTTCCAACCACTGTGTGTGAAATTGAAATCTTCAGATACCATTTCAAATATGCACCTTCTTGAAAGAAGTCCTCCCCAAAGAATTGTGAAAGAGAAGAAACTGACCCAAAGTCATCCACAGTCATGTCTTTTTCTTCACACACTTGGGTCAAAGCAGAAGCATGTAATTAAAAGCAAATTTTATGCCCCAATCTTGGCCGTTCTGTGGTTACCTCATGGAACCCAAAGATATATTTAATAACTGGTTTCCCCCCTGGAACACTAGAGTCAGGAAAGGGCACCTTACCAGATTTCACAAATGCAAACAATCAAGTGTAGCATCTAGTTATCAAGATACAAGCACCAGAAGAGAAAACGCATATATATTATTTAGCAGTACTGAGGCTTGAACTCAGGGCCTTGCACTCTTAACGTGGCTTGAAGGCCAGCATTCTACCACTTGAACCACACATCTACTTTTGGATTTTTTGCTGGTTAATTTTGAAATTAAATCCTCAGGGACTTTTCTGCCTGGCACTGACTTTGAACCGCCATTCTCAGATCTCAGCCTCCTATGTACCATGAGACGCATTAGTACACAGCTTCCATTTACTTTTTTAAAAAGAGGGAGCAGTTCTTTGATTAGAATGGAAAATTTTTCCTTTGAATCCATTTCATCTTTAAATTTAATTTCAAACTTGCTTTACGTTATCCTAGTGTCTTCAGCTATAGTCTAGCCATGGCCACTTACGAGCACTAAATACATGCCAAGAGCTTTCCATGCGATCAATTGTATATAATTGTCACCCTAATTCTGTCGCAGGTCTGTGTGCTACATTTTTGCATGCACTAATTCATTTGACTCTTACAACAACCTATGCAATAAGCTCTCTCATTGCCATGTTACAATGGAAGATACTGGGAGGTGAAATTCCTGCTATTAGTCCAGGCCAACAGGTGGGGAAGGTCTTCCTGTCACTGAGACTCCTGAGCCTCTGCCCAACGTTGTCTTCTCAGATTAAGTAATTTTTCTAGAACATACTAGCGGATAAGAGCCTAAATCAAACTCATACAGTCTAGTTCGAGTCCCTGCATTTAACTATCACACTGATTGATTATAAAAAGCAAGCAAGTTGTTTATAATTGCTTATTTTCATTTCTAATAGAACTGAAAGTAGAATAGTAGGTTGTGTGCTTATCCCATATTTTAGGTTTCTCTAAAAATACTAGAGATTTTTCTATTTTTTATTAACAATAAGAGTTGGATTCTGAAACTGTCTTCTTACATATAGACGGTCTGATTTGTATACAAAGCCCCCTTAACTGCTGCTGTCTTTGACACACAGAATTATATTCAAGGATATGTGCACACAGATTCTAATTATACCCATTAAGGAAACTGACAATAATAAGTTCCACTTGTACATGGAGAAGTCCATGAGGATTTGGCTCTGAATAAGGACAATGAAGCCTCTAGATTTTCATTTCTGACTTTCAACCACGACCTTTCATGGTGAGCTCAACCAGGCACCTCAGTGGCATCTTCAAAATGGGAGTGAAATGCCTATGCCTGGGGTGCAGACTTGCTTTTATAATACTGTGGATTCTGGGGCATGGGTGGCTCACACCTGGCTTCCTAGATACTTATGAGGCTGGAAGTGTGGGAACAGAGGTTCAAAGCCAGCCAGAGCAAAAGAAATCTTAACTCCAGTTAACCATCAAAAATCTGGAACTGGAAGTTATGGATCAAATGTTTGGTAGAGCACACCACCCTTGAGGGGAAAAGCCAGGCTAGAGTTCAGGGCCCCTGAGATCAAGCCCCAATTATACATATTCATATATATATATATATATATGCATGCATGCATGGACACATACATACATGTGTTCTAAAGATTCTGGAATTACTTGAGAGTTTCCTTTTTACAAACCTTATGGTGACATATGAGCTAACAGACCTTGAATCCTAATTTCTGAACTCATTTTCAAGGAACTCTGAAGCCCAGGGAAACCCAAGTTCCTCTCCCTGGAAGGGCAGACTCCCTCGCTTCCTTTTGCATTCCTTTTTCTGAGTAGAACTTGAAGGGAAACCCCTAAATCAGGCCTATCCTCCCCCCCCTTTCTCTCCCCCTCTCTCCCTGATCTAGGGCAAAATAATCTTCCAAGTAACAGTTCTTCATCATCATCAGAAAAGACTTTCTCTGGTCGGGGCATTACTGGCACTTTTCAGAAGGCCAGACTTAGCAGCAGGAGTCCGCTTTTTCAAAGATGCTGAGAGAGGGAATTTTGTCGCCAGCAGATGGAGAGGAGACCCAGACCGGCGTAGTCCCTCCCCGACACCCTCCCCAACGCTGGCCCTCGGGGATTAGCTGCCCCCAGCACTGGCAGGCGTACCCCACCCCAGCGGGTTCTGCGCGCACGGCTCCATTGCCTCTCCAGAGCTCGGACACAGCCGTGGGGTTTGCCGCGGAGAGAGACGAGCTACCCCAGGCACCCTGCGCTCCGAGGCGGTGAACCTGGGGTCTGAATCCGGGACACGCGCGCCCGAGTGGCTCTGGCAGAAGCCTGCTCTTCTGCAGGTGATGATTTCACGTTCTTTTTTAATTTTTTAATTTAATTAATTTATTCATGTGCTGTCCTGGAGCTTAAACTCAGGGTTTGGGCGCTGTGCCTGAGCTTTTTTTTTTTCTTCCCTCTAGGCTGGCATTCTACCACTTCTGTCTTTTTGGTGATTAATTGGAGATAAGAGTCTCCTGGACTCTCCCCGCCTAGGCTGGCTTCGAACCACAATCCTCAGATTTTTAGCCTCCCGAGTAGGATCCCAGGCGTGAGCCATCGGGGGCGCCTGGCTTATCTTCTTTCTTGCTTGAGCGGGCGGGCTGGTTACTTTCAGCCTGAGTTCAGCCAAAAGGGGAAACGCAGACGAGAGGGGAGCTCTCAAGAAGGATCTAGTGGCAGCCCGGCCTCCCCGATCTCCAAGGAGAGGTAAGGTGTTCACCGAGCGACTCTCCGTCTCCAACGCGGGCCCCTTTAAGAAGCCAAGTCGGTCCTGCGGCGGCGGCGGCTGTTTGTACGGCTAATCCCCAGGAGCCCCGTTAAAAAAAAAAAAAAGGGAAGAAGAAAAAGGGGAGGGGGCCTGGGCAGCTGTCTCTTTAAATGTGATTTCCTTCTATTGTATTTGAATCGTGATCAGGAAAAAGGAAATGAAACCAGAGACCGAGGGAAGCTGAGCGAAAATAGCCCTTCCCGAGAGAGGAGGAAGCCGGGGGACCCGGGCCGAGACGCACGGTCCCCTCCCCGCCCCCAGGCCGCCGCCCCCTCGCGCC